ACACACTTACGAATTTCTGAGAACCTTCTGTCCTCCAATGGATAAGAAGGAATCTTGTTATGACTCAGCAATGAGAGAAGACGAACCGACTAGGGAAATTTGGACCTTTCAAGTAAACTGACCGAGGCATTTTGGGTACTTCGAGTAAGTGTTTCCTCCTATATAAAGGAGGTGAGGTAACCCTAAACTCTAACTCCCATTCATTCTATACTTTCTTCTATAGTTGCTGCTGCTCTCTCAGAGCAGCCTCTCTTCATCTATTTCACATACTGACTTGATTGTCGGAGGCTCTACGCCCGAAACACTTTCGGCGTTGAGTTCTTGTAGGTGTCATGGCGGTCTAGCAACGGGTCAAAGGTGATTGAAGCAAATCTGAGCTCAAAACCACCAGTTCTCTTCAGATCCAGAAGTAGACCCATCAGTGGCCTAAAGATCGGCGTTTTTACTATGAGATGTAAGTTTTGGTTTTATACTCACGGTGTGGTATAAATATAGACGTTTTACTGGGAGTGTGATCTCGAGAAGTAAAAATGTGGCCTAAGATCGTTGCTTTTACCTTGATATGTAAGTTTTGAGTTTGTACTCTCGGTGTGGCCTTAAAGTGTTGTCTTAAACGGTCAAAATATGCCAAAGATCGACGCTTTTTACCTTGAGATGTAAGTTTTGAGTTTATACTTGCGATGTGATTTTCTAGAGGGTGGTCTTTACTTGGTGAATTTGTCACGTCCGATCGTATCGTCAGAAGAAGATTGATTGTTTCGGTTCAAAGATCCACTTTGGCAAAAACCGTCTATATACTTTATTTCACCCTTCAGGCGAAGATCCTTGGTTTGCCACAAGTGACTTTTGAGATTTGGATTGTCATGAATGAGATCATCATAAGTAGGACCGTTGAGAGTCATATTGTCATTAATTAGATCATCATATGTAGAAACTTACCAAATAGTTGTGGGAGTTAATATCGATCCCTCTTATAGTACACTGTTTGTGCAAAAAATACAAATGAAGTACAATGATCTCGCTGTAATTACAAGAAAATGTACAATGATTATGTCAAAAAGTTTCAAATTCATCATGAATTTCCCACAAACATTTATGGAACGAACTTATTCAAGTAGGATATATGAAAATATAAATGACTTTGTTTGTCTACACATGTCTATGAAATAGATAGCTTTGCTTATATATTACATGTTTATCAGTGTTTTAATTAAAAAAATGTATAAGGCTTCGTTTTGAAACTTTCACCAGTCGAGCTATTACCCACTTTTGCATTAGTAAGTTCATATCAGCAAGTGGTCTTTGGCTGATCCTTCTTTAGCGAAATAATATTCTTCCGAATCATTCTTCAGAACATTTTTGCATAGATCAACTTTATTGTTGCCTATCCAACAACCTTTGTTGATAATGAGGGTTGCTTGTGGTCTCTTTTGACCGTGATGGTTGATTTTGACCCTATGATTAAGATTACATCTTGGGACGTGACTTGGCAAGGCCCCCGAGCTATTAACAACAACCCAGCTTGGCAATCTAGGCTTCAGATGGTCATGATTAAAAAAAAATGAGTGACCGCCCAACAATTACAGGTCGATCGCGAGGTTGATGACTGCAGGCCAAAGAATAAGTTCTGGAAAGAAACCGTATGGGTTATTCTTGTCAGACCCATCCTTAGGCCCTTGGCTTTTTGAGAAGTTGTCGTTACTCTAGCCTGAAGACTCCTACCTCTCAACATTCTTGTCAAAGGTGAGCTAATCTGTTTGTACTCTTATTGAATTGGGCTAATATATATAGATCCTGACGTTAGATTAGAGATCTGATTTTTTTTCTGATGAGAGGAAGCAAGAAGGCGGTATTTGAAGCTTTTAGGAAGCTTTTGTTTTGGCAGTGTAATGAAAGGAATAGGGTGAGGCTGTTTGCATGAGCCGCCCTTTTTTCTGAATGAGGAGCATTATATATGGTAAGTTTAAGCCAGAGAAGGTACTTGACATAACCATACTTGTGACCGGAGTCAAGTATGAAGAGGTCCAAGCAAAACAGAGGAAGAGCAATCTGAGGAGGTCTAAATGAGACTTGAAAGTCTCTGTAACTAAGTATGAAGTGCTTTATGTGACTAACTATGAGAAGCTCCGCACGACTAAGTATGGGGAAGTAGAGATGCTCTCCTCTACCTGCTAGATGTCACTGACCTCTTTCTACTAGAGGTCATCTCGTCTCTACCTGCTAGAGGTCACTCACCTCTACCTGCTAGAGTCATCTAGCCTCTACCTGCTAGAGGTCATCTAGCCTCTACCTGCTAGAGGTCATATCGTCTCGACCTGCTAGACTTGCTAGAGGTCATCTCGTCTAAACCTGCTAGACTTGCTAGAGGTCATCACGTTTCGACCTGCTAGACTTGCTAGAGTTTATCTCACTTCTACCTGCTAGAGGTTATCTCGCCTCTACCTGCTAGAGGTCATCTCGCCTCTACCTGCTAGAGGTCATCTCGTCTCTACCTGCTAGTGGCCACTCACCTCTACCTGCTAGATGTCACTCACCTCTACCTGCTAGATGTCATCTAGCCTTTACCTGCTAGAGGTCATCTCGTCTCGATCTGCTAGACTTGCTAGAGGTCATCTCAACCTGCTAGACTTGCTAGAGGTCATCTCGTCTCGACCTGCTACACTTGCTAGAGGTCATCTTGTTTCGACCTACTTGACTTGCTAGAGGTCATCTCGTCTACACCTGCTAGAGGTCATCTCACCTCTACCTGCTAGTGGTCATCTCGCCTCTACCTGCTAGAGGTCATCTCGTTTCGACTTCACAAAAGAAGAGTTAAAGCTCACAACAACTATAGGTCTCTGTGATTGGAGGCCTCTGCTGCTAGAGGTCTCTATGACTAGAGGTCTCCACTGCTAGAGGTCTCCGTTGCTAGAGGTCTCTAGGACTAGAGGTCCATGTGACTACAAGAGCATGATCTAGAGGCAGTAAATGGATAAGAAGAAATCTGATGATGACTCAAATGTGATTAAGATACATATAAGATCAAATTTCGGCAGTATGGACAGGCTGACCGAAAGCTCAGACAATCAGGGCGGGTATTTCTTTATAAAAAGGGACTAAGGTATACCCTAACCTCTCTCTCCCACATTCTACACACTTCTACATACATTATAGCTCTAGACTACAGAGCTTCCATCTTCCTCTCTTCTGTTTAGTGACTTGAGTGTCGGAGGCCCAACGTCGGGACCTCTTCCGGCATTGGGTTCTTACAGGTATTCGCGACGGTCTAGAGGCGATCCAAATAGATCGAAGCTCATTTCAACTGGTTCACTCCAGATATAGAACGATACCCATCAGTACTTGATATATATAGGCGATGGATGGCGCTATAGTTTGAGAAAAAAAAATTTTTGCAGAGGATGGCATTTTATAGAGGTAGGTTCAGAAAAAACCTTTTCGTCAACTACAATTAATTATAGAATATGGGGGGATTAATCACGTGTTGTCAGAGAAGAGTAACACTTTTTATTGAAATTAATGAGTGTTTATGGAGAGAATATGGTTGTAGAGAATAGAAATTTATATCAAGAAAATACAGAAGACAAAAAGTTGTAAAAGGCGAGAAATATAAAACACATAGATTTTGTCGATTTGTAGAGACGATGAATGTTTCTCCGAAAGATTATTTAGTACGAGGGTTGCATGTCTATTGCAACTTGCTCTTTGAAGGGCCTCGAGTGTCGAATTTATACACGAAAAGGAGAAAGTGTAATAAATGCTCGGTGTCAGCTAAGGGTGTAGGGTGACGCCATGTATCTCTATGCAAAATCTCGACTACTGATGATGGAACTGGTTGGACGGTTACTTTATCAGTATGCTTAATCAATTTCTCGTTCATACGAGGCCGATCATCTTTCTTTTAGGGAAAAATATGAGGTTGGATCGAGATTTTAGAATGAACTGGCTGCCGGTCGAGAAGATTAACTCATTCCGCTAGCAGTGCCTTTTGGGTTGCTTTCTTAATTGTTCTTTGGCCTAATGGGTGAAGGTCTTAGTATGCGTTTGTCTAGGCTCAAGCGGTTGGTTTATGGCCAAGAAGAAAAAAGCAGTTGGTTTATGGGACATGCCAATTTTATGTAGAATAAAAAGTAACATTCAGTGTGATGCAGCGACATACTAGTATAAATTAATAATTATGAGAGACTACTTACAATCTTATACTATTCTAATTTGAAATCCTTTTGTATCTTATAAAAAAAAAAAACACCAATGTGATTGTGTGAATTTTAATCCAACAAATAACATAAAGTGGGAATTAAACATATAACACCGATACAAAAGATTGTGATTTAATTTGTTAGAGTGCTAAATAAGAGAGAAATGGATTCTTTCATAACTAATGAAAAGAAAAGAACAAATTAGTAGTTTTCGATCTTGACTCAATTATAGATTAGTTTCATTTCTTTTGAGGGTATATCTTACCCCTGAATTAATTTTCGCATTTTGTTCATAGAAAAAAAGGAACGTTAACCCATAAACTAAAAATAGGAAATGTAGTTAAATTTTTTCCACAAATATAGGAAATAAATGAGAAGTAGGGCACGTCGTTGAAACATTTTTTAAACATGCATGCACAAAATCTTTGTTCTCTCTTTCTGTGAGATTCATCCCTGCCTGCCCTTCTCCTACAGGTTACATTTTTCGTTCCCTTCTCCTCTCACCCTCTTGTGAATTCAATTATTAAATTTCACTTGTTTAAATTTTAAAAGGCTTTTTTTGTTATGTTTGTATTTGATTTCTTCTTTCTTCTGTTTTAAAATACAATATAATATATTTATTTTGTAAGTATATCAAAAATTCAAGTTGTATTCCAAAAAAATGCACCTAACGATTAGTTTGATGAAATGTTGTTGCTACATTAAAGGGTCAGATATGCTCTGGGGGAGAGGTGGGGTATTATGGTAATTTCAAAGTAGGTCGGGTCATTCATTATATCTTTTCATATCAAAAAAGCCATCGTCATGTCGTCTTCGTCAGCACCCCCGCAACAGTCGCCGTCGAATAATTCATCAGAATCCCCACCGCCACCGTCGACCTCATCACCTCCGCCTCCCCAGTCATCTCCCCCGCCACCCGGCAACAGCAGATCCCCACTCCCGCGCCAATCATCCGATGGATCACAACATCCTCCTCCTCCGCCACCACCACCCCCACCGCCTCCTCCTCCGCCTCCGCCTCCACCTCCACCTCCACCTCCAGGTAGAAATTCTCCATCCTCCCGTTCAGTGGCCCCTCCTCCTCCCGACAACACGGGCAATGATCAGAGAGCAATAATAGCGGGAGCGGCGGCAGGGGCTGGGCTTCTGCTGCTAATCATGATCGTGTTTTTGGTGTCCTGTGGAAGAAGAAAAAAACGCAAACCCCATGACCATATGAATTACTATAGAGACAACTCACATGGCCACACCGGTATGTATACCCAAAAATAAAAATAAATGTGGTCGTGCGTCTTTATTCATTTTTCTTGAAAAGAGCCTACATAAGAAAAGTGATTTTTTTTTTATCATTGTTTTAATCAAGAGCATGCTTTTAATTTTTTGTTGAAGGTAACGAGTACTATGACAGGACCTCGAATGGGACATGGAACGATTCCATGGGGATGGGTCCCCAGCCTGGCAGCGGCAGTGCAAACGTGAGCACCAATTGGGTGGTGGGACCTCCACCCCCACCACCACCCATAATGAGCAGTAGCGAGATGAGTTCTGCGGGTTTCTCTGGGCCCCACCAGGCCCCCCTTCCGCCCCCTCACCCAGCCATGGCTCTAGGGTTCAACCAGAGCAGCTTCACGTACAATGACCTGGCAGTGGCCACAAACAACTTCACTCACACCAACCTTCTGGGGCAAGGAGGGTTCGGCTTCGTGCACAAAGGACTTCTCCCTAATGGGAAAGAGATAGCCGTCAAGAGCCTCAAGATGAACAGCGGGCAGGGTGAGCGTGAGTTCCAGGCCGAGGTCGACATCATCAGTCGAGTCCACCACCGTCATCTCGTGTCCCTGGTCGGCTACTGCTCGTCCGGTACCCAGAGGATGCTCGTCTATGAGTATGTGCCCAATGGGACGCTCGAATTTCACCTTCATGGTACATATCTATAACGTCCATTGTAATTTTGCCTTTCTTTTGAAAAAATTGTAATTTTTCCTATCCTTTGAAAAAAATATTTACTTTTTTACTTAATGTCATGTCTTTTGTATGTTTTAAGCAGGAGCTAGTCGCCCACCTATGGATTGGCCTACGAGGCTTAATATTGCTTTGGGTTCAGCCAAAGGATTTGCTTATCTCCATGAAGACTGTAAACCTTTTTATTTTTTTATTCTTTTATCCTTCAAATAACCAATGTTTTTTCCAACTATGTTTTTTTTCCCTATTTTTTGCCTACATGCAAAAGAACTTTGTACACTTAACACCTTGAGAAACTTGCAGGTCATCCTCGCATTATCCACAGAGATATTAAAGCTGCAAATATTTTGCTTGATTTCAATTTTGATGCTAAGGTACACTATAGAACATATGTAATTATATAGGCATGTGGCACATAAAGAATTTACCTCTCTCTCTCTCTCTCTCTCTCTCATCGAGGCATGCTTTTCTAATGTGTGTCCTGAAAATTGTTACTTTAAACTATAGGTACACTATAGAACATATGTAATTATATAGGCATGTGGCACATAAAGAATTTACCTCTCTCTCTCTCTCTCTCTCTCTCTCTCTCTCTCTCTCTCTCTCTCTCTCTCTCTCTCTCTCTCTCTCTCTCTCTCTCATCGAGGCATGCTTTTCTAATGTGTGTCCTGAAAAATTGTTACTTTAAACTATAGGTGGCTGATTTTGGATTAGCTAAGCTTTCCTCAGACACCAACACACATGTCTCTACAAGGATAATGGGAACATTCGGGTACGACTAATGTATAGTTTATTTATCCTCATGCAATTTTCAACTTTGTTTGAACATGATAATTAAACAAACATAACGTCTATATATATATAATGCCAAATATCATTGTTATACATGTAGCTTCCATTTATAGTCTATAGATCACGTACCATATGAATTATATTTCTTTTAGTTAAAAGAGAAAAAAATTATTGCTCATATAACATTAGTAACAAATTGTTAAAATGTAAGTCTCCAACCATTTTATTATTAAATGAAAAAAATGAATAGGTATTTGGCCCCTGAGTACGCATCAAGCGGTAAACTCACTGAGAAGTCTGACGTCTATTCATATGGGATCATGCTTTTGGAGCTAATTACTGGGCTACGACCTGTGGACATCCACATGGACGATGATGATACCTTAGTCGATTGGGTACATACATATATATATATATATATATATATATATATATATATATATATATGTATATATTATTTTCTAGTTAAAATTAATTTTCTGCAAATTAAATATGCTTCACATTTTACTGAAAGTTACTGATTATTTTTAATGAATGTAATGTTTTGTTTAACGTGATACACAGGCTAGGCCTATTTTGATGTCCGTTACAGAAGGGGGAGAGTATGAGGATCTGGTGGACCCAAAGCTAGGAAACAATTATGATGCCCAAGAGATGTTGCGGATGGTTCATTGTGCTGCTGCATGTATTAGGCATTCGGCAAGAAGACGTCCTAAAATGAGCCAGGTTTTTACCGAATCTAGAAACCTTAATTATTTCAAATTAATCATATGAAATAATCAAAAGCTTCAGTAATACAAATAGCATTAATCGACATTTTGTCTTATTTTTTATTCAAAACTAGAGACAAATTTTTGTAAGTATAATTAACTTGCACTCGTTTAGTTTATCTGAGGTGCATGGATCGGTCCCCTACTGAATTTTAACAAATAATTCATGAGATTTTTCTTTGTATGAAAAATTTAACAAGCTAAATATAAATTAACAAATGTCCAGTTAGTCGAAATTAAGCACATCGAGTTACTAGTTTTCTTTTTGTCAAGTTATTTGTTGGGATCAAACATAATATTCATTACACTAAAATTAAGATTTAAAGATATGATTTTGGAAACAGGGTAAATTAGATGTGCATTTGTCTCTAGATTTATGTTAAAATTTCTGCACCACTTTAGCTATATATTTATAGAATAACTAAGGCGGTGCTAACTGCCCAATGATTTCTGAATGCTTACTGTGTGATTGGATATGGATTTGATTGATTTTCTAGTGGTTTTTTAACCATAGTTGATTTTGAAAAATGTGGTATGGTTAGTTGTTAGTGGAAATTTATGTTTAGATTGAAATATTATTTTAAATAAAATAATTAAAGTTGATTTGATGTAAGAGTATAAGAAAATTGATTGAAAGTGACAGATAATTAAAATTATATGAATAGATGAGTAGTGAATTAAAGTTGATGTGATGTGTAAGAATGATTGTTTGATATAATGGAATTATATTGATAAAATTGAAGATAATAGGGTTAGGCTAAAGTTAAGTTAAAATTTGAGCTTTGATTGGTTAACTTTATTATCAATCACACCCTTAATGACTCATAAGTCTCCTGGTAATATTTTTTTTAATCCTTAGTCTAGAATTTTCCTTGAGCATCAATATTTAATACACCACTTGATACTCATTTGGATAATACTGAGCATCTCATATAGTGCCTCGAATTTTGGTCGTTGTAGAGATTTTGTGAAAATATCTGCTAGTTGGTCCTCAGTGGCAATATATTTGAGCTCTATTTGTTTGTCATTAGTTTCTTCTCTTAGAAAATGATATTTGATAGCAATGTGTTTGGTTTAGCTGTGATGTATGGAATTTTTTGCCATTATTATTGTTGACTTGTTGTCGAAATATATCTCTGTAGATTTTCATAGTGTTCTTCCATGTATCCAATATTACACCTTAGCCAAATAGTTTGACTTGTCATTAGTATTGTTTCCACGTACTCAGCTTTTGCAAAAGATTGCGCCACACAGTTGTTTCTATTTGGATGACCACGAGAGTATGCCTGAGCCAAGTGAAAATGTGTAGCCTGAGGTGTTATTCATGTCGTTAGTTGATCCAACCTAGTAGCTGCCTGTGTAGACATTAAGTCTTGAGTCCTCGTTATATTCATATTGAATTCTATAGTCTTTAGTACCCTGTAAATACCGCAATGTTCTTTTCGCAGCTCCATAGTGAACTTGGCTTGGATTCTGAATGAAACTCGATCGATACACTTACAGTGCACATGATATCCAGTCTTATGGTCGTTAGATATAGTAGTCTTTCAGCCATGCTTCGGTATATGGATGCATCTCCATTCGGTGTATCGCATTCCTTGTTGAGTTTGTCATTCGTGACTAATGGAGTATCCACAGGTTTACAACTTTCCATCTTGAACTTCTTTAATAGATTATATGTATATTCTCTTTGTGAGATTAATATCTCATTTTCTTCTTGGGTAATCTCAGTGCCGAGAAATAGCTCATTTTCCCATGGTCTTCATCATATCTTCCTTGAACTCCTTAATCGTCTCCCCATTATTCCCCGATAGATAAAATCATCAAGATAAAGAGAAACATTGAGTTTGTTGTCGTTACCTTGGTTCTTTATGTAGAGTGTTGGCTCAATTTTGCTTCTTTTGAATCCATGACTGATGGTCGTTATCAATTCGACTGTACCAGGCTCGTGGGACTTGTTTCAATCCTTAAAACACCTTCTTTAGTTTTAATTTCTTGTTCTTCTGCCATGAACACTTGAGGTTGTTCGACATAGATCTCCTCTTCAAGATAGCCATTGAGGAATGTTTACTTGACATCGAGTTGGTAGATTTTCCATTACTTCTGGGGTGCAAGTGCGACTAGAGCCCTTATAGTATCTAGCCTAGCAATTGGAGCGGAAGTCTAGTGATAGTCAATGGTTCAAAATAGTATCTAGCCCTTATAGATCTCTTCTTCAAGATAGCCAATCTGGAGCAGTTGTGAGTACCCGTTAGAAGCTAGTTGTTATTTATGTTTTTTAATTGAGCCATCTGGGTTAAGCTTTGTCTTGTAGACCCAATTAACTCTAATGATCTCATAATTATTTTGTATGTCAACCAACTTCAAAGTTTTATTATTTTCGATCATTCTGATTTCTTCCTCCATGGCTTTTAACCATTCATTTCGCTTTACCGCTGCTTTAAAGCTTCTCGATTACACCGTGGCAAAATTCCATGTCTCGTAAATTTCTCTAAGATTTTGTACTTTCTCGGTGGTGATTCTGGGGATGATGGTTCGTCGCTTGATGGTGATGATATCATCATACTCGAAGGTTGTGGAGATGGAGGTATTTTGTACTTTTCGGTTCATCTTAATGTTCTTCATGTACTATATTTTTCCTCTGCAGTGGAGGTACCATTATATTTTGGTATTCCAACTTTTTCTTCTTCCTAGTTTTATGTAGCATTTTCATCAAACTCGACATATCGACTAATAAGTAGTTTACCAGTCTTGAGAATGTAAAAATTCTGTATCCATTAGCTTGAGAGCTATAGCTGATGAATGCGCCTTTTTCGGATTTCTCCTTTAGTTTGTGCCTCTTTTCTTTTGGGATGTGCACGTTGCAAATACTCCCAAAGACTCTTACATGTTGGGCTTTTTGTTTTCGTCCACTCCAAGCTTCTATGAGAGTTTTATTTTGGATTACCTTAGAATGGCACCTACTTAGTAGATAGACTGCAATATATACAACTTCTGCCCAAAATTCTTTGGGCATGTTCTTCTTTGCTAGCATTGTCCTGGCAATCTCTTGTGAAGTTCTATTTTTTCTTCCCTACACGCCGGTTTGCTCTAGAGCGTAACCGATAGTTAGTTAATGGTTTATTCCTTCATCTTATCACAAAATTTGCTGAACTCTTTGGATTTGTGTTTTGTTCTTCAACCACTCCATAGAACTTTAATTTTTCTTCCACCTTGATTTTTGACAAGGTTTTTAAATTTCTTGAAAATATAGAATACTTCGGGCGTTTCTTTTATGACGTACACCTAAGTCATTCTTGCGTAATCATCAATGAAGAGGATGAAGTACCTGTTCTTCTTGATGGTTGGCGTCTTTATTGTTTTGTACACATCTATATGCACCAGGTCCTTTTTTTCTGCTCTGCCTGTTTGGCTTGAAGAAATGGTTTTCTACGTTGTTTGCCCACCATGCACTTTTCGCAAATATTGTCGTTCGTTTGGATGACCGAAAGATTTTTCATCATATTTTTCTGAAGAAGTAGCTTTAGCCGTTGGAAGTTAAAGTGCTAGAACCATTGATGCCATAGTCAGGATTGGTCTTCTGGCATTTTAGTGCTGCTTCTATGAATTTCCAACAGAGCGAAAATTTTATCCGTTATTGCATTTTTACTACATTATGGGAGTATTTTCATTTTTTTGTCATAAACTAGTACGAATCATGTGCTATGCATGGGTAAGAAATCTTCTTTAATATTTATAAATAAAAAATGCTCATTAAATAATGTTTATAAATTTAAAATATGGAATCAATAAGTAATACAAGTTACCTATATAATTTGTTGAAAATGTTATATGAAATATAAGTTGCGCATAATTACATTAAATATGCCTGTTTAAAATTGATGCACGACCCATACGATGCAAGTAACTAATAATAAATTACATTATGTTCATTTCGAAAAAGGTGTCATTTAAAAATTTTATTCAGAAATGCGATTTGACTACAATGTGATTCAAGTAAATACGGACCTTTATATATATATATATAATTATATATATATATATATAATTTGATATTTTATGAAATAATTTGATATGTTCCACGCACATTTACAAACTATAGTATTCTCCAGACTTTGTTGTCATTTATATCGAGTAAAATTCTTAGCAATGTCAAAAAAAAAATGAGATAGCATATTTTACCATAAGCGAATATATTGGATCACTATATAGTATACCAAATAATTTGATTTCATATTTTATCGTTAAAATATAAAAAAAAAATAATAATATTCAGTTTTACCACAAAATTAATTGTCCACCGTATAAAAAATTTGAGACCCGTGTTTTTTATAGATAAAAATAAAAAATATCCAAAAGGTATTTATTAAAAAAATAATTAAATAGAAGATGTCATTAATACAATTATTTTTAAATACTCTTATAAAACATTATGATTGAATAAATCAACCAAATTTACTTGATTGTGCAATTAGGGTATCTTACTAATATAAATTTTTATGGTCTAATTATTTTTTAATTATTCACAATTTGAGTAATTAAATACACAAAATTAAATAACAATTATTAAATAATATTTAAATAAAATGTCATTAACACAATTTTTTTAAGAATAGCTTTTGGTAAATCGCATAATTGATTATTTTAGTTGATATTTTCATAATTATAGTAATTATTTGTAGATTGAATAAATCATTTGGATTTACACAATTTGCGTAATTAAGATATATTAAAAATATGTTTCACAAAAGAATTACATGAAAAATATGAAACACTTATTACATAATTAATTATATAATTTAGTTAGAGGATTTTTACCTTATCACATAATTGATATTGCAGCCGAAATTCTCATATTTAGGTAAATCAACCAAATTCACATGATTTGAGTAATTAAGGTATCTTAAAAAAAAATTATGACTTATATCATTTCCTTAAATAATGAGCCGCAATTTTCATAAGTGATTATTTGAAATATACCATAAATTGTTAAACTAATTTCTTGAAATAGTAAATAGATATTTCCTGGAGGGAAATTGTTATTATTTAAAAAATAGTCAAACCTATATATATATATATATATATATATATATATATATATATATTATGAAAGAGTTATTTTTAAACTATATTGTACGTACTATTTCCACCATTTATCCCTCACTGAGTAAATTAGTATAAAATTTTGGTAATAATAGCACATCTTCGAAAAGACGAGTACCTTTTTGATCTCGACCTCAATTGAGCTTTTGTCATAAACTTCTACTATATTTCTATTGCCCAATGAACTTGTGATTTTACAAATCTATATATCAATAACTTTGCATTTGTTTTCATTCTCCGACCATATGATTGTTGTGGCCGCTATCCAGAAACCAAAAATCATATTTCTCTTTCGATGTTGCATGTGTTTCATAGAATAACAAATTTTCTCTATTTTTATTTTCTTTAGAGAAATTTGTTTGATATATTTTATTGCGGCTGTTGTTTTCCTATATGACCAAATCGACCACAAGTTTTTACATTGTGGTTTATATCGGTACCAACAATCCTTCTCGAGATGGTTGGTCTTCTTGCAAACTCCATAAGGTGAAAATTTTTATTTTTGTTGATTATTATTATTTTTTTCACCTTGATTTTTATTGTTGCTATTTTTTTCAAATTTCTCTC